GTCCAGTACATCGGGCATGGGGCTCGTGCTTGGAGGGCGGAGCCCAGTTGTCCTCACTGCGCACTCGGACGCTTCTTGGGTTGACGACCTTGCTACGCAGCGGTCGTCACAGGGTTACACCTTCAGCCTTGGCTCTGGCTCTGTTTCTTGGCGTTCTACACGCTCGTCTTCAGTTCTCAGCTCCAGTTGTGAGGCTGAGATCTACGCCACAGCCATGGCTGCACAGGAGTTACGCTGGCTCACCTACCTGCTGACCGACCTGGGAGAGCGGCCTCGTTCTCCTCCAGTGCTGTACGTTGACAACAAGGCCGCCATTGCCTTGTGTGAGGAGCACAGACTGGAGCTTAGAACGAAGCACATCGCTCTGCGTTACTTCCTGGCTCGAGAGTTGCAGCAGCGTGGTCAGCTTCGTCTTGCTCACGTGGCCACTCGGGCCAACTTTGCTGATATATTCACCAAGGCACTTCCGTCTGGTGATCATCAGCGTTTCTGCACTTTGTTAGGCCTTGTGCCCACTTTTCCTCACTTGCTGTAGACTTTGCTTGTACTGTGATTTATATATATAGCTGCATGCCTGCTCTGCTAGGTAGAGATCACTGTGCTGTTGTTGTTGCATATATACCTCTGCATGTGAACTGACCTTGTGGCCCTTTGCTTGTGCTCAGTGTGTGTGGTGACATTGTGATGCACCCTGAGCTTGCTTTGCTTCTCTTGACTGGTCTTGTGACCCCTTGCTCTCCCCCACTTTGCCTATGGGGGTGTGTCAAATGATATATGTGCTATATATGTTTAGGCTGTAGTGGGGTAGCTAATATGGGGTACAGCCCCTTTTAGGGTTTCATATTTGTACCCAACTCTTTCATAGTTCATTCATTCCGACAGCTAGATTCTGACATCAAAATTATACTTATATTGTTTCTAGAGCTGACTTGCTTCGCCACTGAGAAACATGTGGCCTTGATTGTACAGTAATACTAGGATATCCAGACAACAAGAACCCTAATAACGAACAAGAATTTTGCAGTGTTGGGCATGTTAACATGTGGAAAAGATTGGGGTGAAAATATCAGATCAGACATGTGTAGCGTTACGATTAGTGTATGAGGGCAGCCTACTCACGCGCCTAGCACTCCACCACATCATCATCAGAGCTGCCCCCATCCACCTCCACCACATCCTCCCCCTGCCGCTTCCTTGCCCCTGTCTCCCCATCTTCCCCTGCACTCTCCTCTTCCACTCCTCTCCTCCCTCTCCCTCTCCCTCTCCCCCTCCCCGTTCCTCTCCCCCTCCCCCTCCCCCTCCCTCGCCCCCTTCCACCTGCCCCCCTCCCTGCACCGGCACCGTCCCCCTGCTGCTGGTGGCAGCGCATGCGCCTCAGCATGTCGCGCAGCTCCTCCACGTCGCCGCCCGCCTCTCCCGCCTGTCAGTGGCGCACACGGGGTCGGGGGCGGGAGGAGGGTGGGTGTGGGGGGGGAAGGGGATGGGGGGGGAGAGAAGGGGATGGCGGGTGGGATGGGCTTGAGGGGCGGGAGGGGGGCGAGGGCCAAGAGAGGGGAGAGGATAAGAAACAGTGGCGGCAATGTTGGGAGGGTGTGTTTAGCGCAGGGAACAGAGTGAGACAGGCGTGGGGACGATGGGATGACGAGAGCACAGCAGTAGGGGGGATGAGGGGCACAGAGATACCTGCACTCATCTAACACCACTTCCCTCTGCAAGGCTTGAACCTCCAATATCATCCACCAGCAACCCCATCCACCAGCAACCCCATCCACCAGCAACCCCATCCACCAGCAACCCCATCCACCAGCAACCCCATCCACCAGCAACCCCATCCACCAGCAACCCCACGCACCACAGCACAGAACCACCTGTCCTCCCATCATTCTGCGCCCTTCTTTCCCCTCCCCCTTCGCACCAGCATGTCTCGCAGCGTTGCCTGGTCGAAGTCAGGGTAGGCCCGCATCACTTCCTGCAACCCCTCAGGGACGCCTGCCAGCGAGCTGCACGCCACCAGTGCCGCTGCTGCTGACGCCTTTCCTACTGCCGCCCGCTCTGTTTCTGCCCTTTCCACTGCCGTGCCCACTGCTGCCATCCCCTTTGCTGCTGCGCCCTGTGCTGCTGCATCCGCCGGTGCCGATGCTGTGGTCACACCAGCAACGCCACCTGAAGTGGGACTCAACGCACCTACCACTCCCCCAGTCTTACCGCCATCCACTCCACCTTCCCTTCCCCCGTCCACCTCTGCCTGCGCGCCCTTGCCCTTCCCCTCACCCGCTCCTCCTGTGCTCCCCGCAGCACCAATCGCATCCAACGCTTGCACTCCCTTGCTCCGCCCCTCTTCCTTCACCCCCTCCTCTCCTGCACCTTCGATGTTTCCTTCACGCTCCTTCCCTTCGGCCTGCCCTTTGCTGTCCTTCTCCTCATCCTCCGCGCTGTTCTCATCCGCTTCATCCTCCTCTCCCTCTGCGCCCTCCTCCCCATCCTCCTCACCGCCCTCCCCTGCGTCCTCCCCCTCCTCTGCATCTGGTGCATTCGTCTCTGCGAGCAGCATGGCGATCAAATCCGCCATGTCGTGGTTCACCTGCCGTCATGGAAGGAGGGGGTGAGGTGGGGGTGCAAGGGGCAAGGGGCAAGAGAGAGCGTGTGGGAGCGCGTGTCTCTGCGAGCAGAATGGCAATCAGGTCTGCCATATCTTGATTGACCTGCCGCCAGGCAGGGGTCCAAGGGGGGAATGTGAGAAGAATGCGGCGATTGCAAGAGGGAGCGTGTGGGAGAGGGCATGAGATTGCGACAATGCAGCAGAGAGAATTCACGGAGAGGACAGAGCTGGGTTGTTTGAGCAGAGGAGCGATGCTGCAAAGGCGGTTGGACACGAGGGAGAATAAGAATTGCTAAAACATCGTTCCCCATGCCTGCCTGTCTCGCAAAGCCTCACAATCTCACCTGAACCCATCGTGCTCTCACCTGCACCTGCCCCTCAAACCCCTTCCCTCACCTGCAAGCAGGTGAGCACGTCTGCAATGGCAGCGGTGCAGTGAGCAGCGGGGCGCTGCTTCCCCATCGTGTGTGCTCGCACGCACCCGACCACCTTTTCAGACACCCCAATGGCCACCTCGTGAGTACCTTACCCCCCACCCTCACCTGCAGCCGGGACAGCACGTCTGCAATGTCAGCGGTGCAGCGCGTGGCGGGGCACTGCTTGACGATCTTCTGTGCTCGCAGCGACCGCCCCGCGGTCTTGGAGCGGTCGCGCGTGTCGGCCTGCCCGTGGAAGCGCTGCTGCAGGCACGCGAGGCAGAAGCTGTGCTGGCAGGGCGTGGACACCGGGTCGCACAGCACTCCCCCACACAGCAGACACGCGAAGTCTGAGGGGAGGAGAGGAGGAGGGGTGGAAGGGAGGGGCGAGAAGAAACGAGTTCTCTTAGCTGCTGGTCACAGCTTCATGCACTCTCATTCCTCATCATACCACAACCAGCCCCAATCCCCCAGCAGGCAGGATCATACCAGTCACGACCCACAGCCCAGACCCTCCCATCACCCAGCCAGCCACACCTTTGGCAAGCCGCTTCTGTGCCAGCAGCGCTCTGCGCTTCTTCACATCCTCGCCCATGCCGCCACCGCTAGCCTCTCTCTTAGGCGTCTCAGAGACACACCAATCGCATCTCCCACCCCGCTTACCTTTGGCGAGTCTCTTCTGTGCCAGCGCCCTCCGCTTCTTCACCGCCTCGCCCGTGCTGCCCACCGCCAGGCGCTTGGCGGAGCGCCATGCCGTGCTGGTGCCGCCGATGGGCTTGGTGCATGCTGGGGGCGCGCGCACCCACCCCCACTGCTGCTTCTCCTCCTGTGGACGCGGGAGTGAGAGCACGGGAGGAACAGCCTTGAGTGTGCACCGTTTACCGCCAAACCAGCTCGAGACTGGTTGACTTGGCTTGTGAGGGGGGGCTTGCCGTGCGCGAGTGATTCTTCGGTTTGGCTCGTGCTTGAGTGCATTGAGGTCACACGCATCAAGCACGCATCAAGCACGCATCAAACACGCGTGTTCATCTCAACAAAGAAACATTAGCAGCTGTCACCCCGTGCCACTCGCAAGCAAGCCCCGCACGCCCCACTCACAAGTCACTCCAAATTGCGCCACTCATCCCGCACCCATACACACCCACCCACACACATCAACGCACTCACAATCCAGTCCCAGGCGGGCGGGCCGGTGCGCTCTGTGACGTCCACTGCCTGCTTCAACTCCGCCACCTGCGGCAGCTTCCTCCCCGGGCTGTCCCCCACGTCGTCACTGGGGAAAGAGGAGTGGGGGGGAGTGCGAGGGGAGAGAAGCGCGGTTGTGTTTAGAGAAAGGGAGGAAAGATGCTGTGTGACGTTTCGAATGGGAGAGGTTCACGAAGTGATGGGGAATTGAGCAGGAGAGTGCTGTGAGGGACAGGAGGGCCAAGCGGGCCACACGGGAGAGAATGGATGGCCAGAGCTGCTTGGCGCGCACTGAGTGTGATGGGCCTGTCAGTGCCTGGTCTGGGGGGTACCTACCTGGTATGGGCTGTGGAGAGGGGTACGGACCTGGTATGGGCGGTAGAGGGGTACGGACCTGGTCCAGGGGGCGGGCGAGTTGTCACAGCGCACGAAGAGGTAGCGACACACGAGGAAGCCCTGCGGGTGGGGGGGTGTTGCAGCAGCAGGGGAGGACAGAGGCGCTGCTCATTCCTCTCGCACTTGCGCTTGCAATAACACCCACGAACCCAAGTGACTTCCCTTCCGCTCCTACTCATGGCGACCCTGCTTTCGCCCTCAACACGGTGCTCTCACCATTTCAACACATGGCCCCTTCCGACGCTTTCTCACCACGACTCTCCTCCCTTCCCCCTCCCCTCTCCCTCCCTTCCCCCTCCCCTCTCCCTCCCTTCCCCCTCCCTTCCACCTCCCCTCTCCCTCCCTTCCCCCTCCCCTCTCCCTCCCTTCCCCCTCCCCTCTCCCTCCCTTCCCCCTTTCCTCACCACTTTACTCTTCTTGCGCCAGCAGCGCTCGATGCGGTAGACGCCGTCGTACCGCACGCCTGCTTGTGGCGCATAGCTGGACCGCCGCTCCTTCTCCGACCTGCAGTGCGGGCGCAGTGACGCATGCGTGCAGGATGCGACGGGACGTCATGCGATGTGGTTGGCGGAGAGGTGTGTGAGTTGGAGAGGGTCGGACGGCAGTCACAGGGGAATGCACTTGCGCAGGAGGAGAGAGGATGGAAATGCAGCGGGAGGGGAAGGATCTCAACACGGGATGCACAGGTGGTTGCATGCAACATACCGCACAGATGCATGCACGCGCGCTCACACACGCACACAGACAAATACAAGCACACACGCACGCACGCATTCGAGCATGACCGCACCCCAGGCGCAGCCATGCATGCAAGAGGGACGACACGCGCAAGCAGAGCGGCGCACCTGACGACGCGCACGGGGTAGCCCTTGAGGCAGCTGAGCCTGAGCGCCTGGTTGCTCTTCTCAAAGCGCTGGTCGAACGCGTGCACCTTGTTGGTGCGCTTGTTGCCGCTCAGATCCCGCCCCCCACTGCGCCACATGATGGAAAGGAAGGGGGATCGTTGGGGGATAGGAGGGTCAGGGAAAGTGAATGGAGAGACGGGGCAGCAATGGAGAAGGGTAAGTGGCGGGGAACATGCATGGAACTTGAACGCATGCCTATTCCCATCTGCGCCATGTGTTGCCTCCCCCCTCTCCTCTCCTCTCATTTCCCCCCCCCGCCTCTCCTCTCTCCTCTCCTCTCCTCTCCTCTCCCTTCCTCTCAACCCTGCTAACGACTACCCACCTGCCAGTGTAGAGGAACCACTCGCCGTTGTCCTCGTCATCCTCATAACCCCCCGACAGCGCCACTGACTGCGCGCCATGGTGGGACTGCCCCGCGATGCCCGCCACGTGCGGCAGGTGCGCGCCCCACTGCCGGCACTCCAGCCGACTCGCCCACGTCTCGCCCACCTCCACGCCCGTCCCCCTCTCCGGATCGTACTCCGCCGTGATTGGCCCGAAAAAATCCCCCGCTATAGTCACAAATATGCGGCCCGAGGCGGCGTTAGAGAGCCCCTTCCGCACGGCGCGATCCGTGGTGAACGCCTGATCGGGCCGCTTCTCGTTGCAGATTGGCTCGTACGGCTTCGCTGGTGCTGACGTGGACAGCCCGCCGGCGGCCGCGCGGGCGGCGGCGGCCTTGGCGTGGCGGATGGCGGCGACGATGACGGGGTTGATGCGCGGCTGCTTCATCATGTCGGGCGGCACCGCGCGGCGGCACTTGGCGCAGCTGCGCTTACCCTGCGCCAGCCACTTGCGGAAACACACGAGGCAGAAGTTGTGGCCGCAGGGGGTCTGGCGGGCATTGGGGGGAGAAGGATGGGGGAAAGGGGAGTTGAGGGGGCATGAGGAGAGAATGGACGAACGGGGGGAAAAGGGATGAAGAGAGGCGGGCGGCGGGGGGAATGGGTGACGAGCGCAGCTATGGAAGCACGAGGGCAATGAGGAGGGTCGCACGGTGACGGGGAGGGAAGGGTGGAGGGAGGTCGCACGGTGACGGGGAGGGAAGGGTGGAGGGAGGTCGCACGGTGACGGGGAGGGAAGGGTGGAGGGAGGTCGCACGGTGACGGGGAGGGAAGGGTGGAGGGAGGTCGCACGGTGACGGGGAGGGAAGGGTGGAGGGAGGTCGCACGGTGACGGGGAGGGAAGGGTGGAGGGAGGTCGCACGGTGACGGGGAGGGAAGGGTGGAGGGAGGTCGCACGGTGACGGGGAGGGAAGGGTGGAGGGAGGTCGCACGGTGACGGGGAGGGAAGGGTGGAGGGAGGTCGCACGGTGACGGGGAGGGAAGGGTGGAGGGAGGTCGCACGGTGACGGGGAGGGAAGGGTGGAGGGAGGTCGCACGGTGACGGGGAGGGAAGGGTGGAGGGAGGTCGCACGGTGACGGGGCGGTCGACGAGGTCGTGGCAGATGGGGCACTTCATCGCCTCGCTGAAACACGCTGCCGCCGCCTCCGCCGCCTCTGCCGCGTTTACGCCCCGCGGCGTCGCACTCGCCCCGTCCGCGTGCGCCCCGCCGCCGCTCTCTCCCGCGCTCGTCGTCGCCTGGCGGCTCACGAGCGCCTGACGCTGCCTCGCCTTCTCCGCGTCGCTCAGCGACGAGTCGCTCTGGATCGCACGGATTCTCGCCCGCAGGTCGCTTTCGCCGCCGTTACCCACAGTTGCCGCCGCAGCATCTGCCTCTCTCGGCGCTTCAGCTTCGCCGGCCGCCGCATCAGACGCGGCACGGCCGTCTCTGCCGCCGCCGTCGCCGCCAGGCGCGCGGTTCATCTCTGCCTCGACCTCGTGGCAGTCGGGGCAGTGCCACGTGCCGGCGGGTGCGGCGGTGAGGGGCGGCACGAGGCACGGCATGTGCCATTCGCCGCGGCACGCGTCGCACACGAGGACGCGGTCGTCGGGCGGCAGCGTGTTGCATTGCATGCACACGCCGTCCGTGCCGCACGACCGCAAAAGCACGGCTGGCGGCGCTGCTGCCGCCGGCATTGCTGGCGGCATTGCGCGTGAGGAAATTGGTTGGCGCTGAACGCTGCTGCTGCTGGCGACCACCGAATGCGGAACGCTGTTGCGATGCTAAGTGGGCTTGTGGTTTGAAGAGGTGTGATGTCCTGTGCAAGCTAGTTGAGAGCGGACGCCTTTTCTGGTTTTGCAAGCAGTCAGGTTGGAGTCTTGGGGGTTGCTCGATGCTTGCGTGCTTCGCGCACGAGAAAGACCTTGGGATGTGGATGGTGGGAGTGCCCCAGATGGATTTGGTTTTCGTCGAGTCGTGCGTGATTGGTGATCGAGGGGATATTTTGGCGGGAAGTTCAAAAGCATGAAGCAACAAAACTTGGCGTCACTCCCACGAGTCGGTAACACCCAAATTTCGAGATAGCCTAACTCCTTACTTTCTTAATCACTGCCTTTGTCATGCAGTTACCGAGTTTGCACTGATGCGTACAGCAATACCTTCCCTCCTCCTCTCCCCTCCCCTCCCCTCCTGTGTTGCTTCTGACCTCTCACGTTCCTCCCACACCCTCCCGTATCACGTCCCGCCGTCTTCTCTCCCTGCCGCCTCTTGTTTCTCCACTGCTCAAAGATTCGTGCCACGTACTCAAATCGCGCAAGCTACCACATCGCCAGCGGCGGAAGCTGCATGGCTTTCGTCCGGGCCGAGAGGCCGCCTTTCGCGTCGTGAACATGCGGAAAGTTTCGCGCGAATTTATGACTCTAGTCACACTTCCGTAATTTTTTTTCGCGAGCAGCATGGCGAGCGAGCTGCCGATGCTGACGCGCAAGGAGCAGATCGACGCGTTCCTGTGGAACACCATCGATGCCGTGCTCGTGCTGCGCTTCGGCCACTCCGACGACCCCGCCTGCATGCAGCTCGATGACGTGGTGAGCCGTGATTGGCCGATGCTGGGGCGGCCGCCGCGAAGGTGCAAGCGACGGAAGGGGCCGTGGTGGTGCTGTTGATGGTACCCATGCTCGCGATGAGTGACAGAGTTGTGGCAGAGCATGAGTTGCTGGCGATGCGATGCTGTGCGGCAGCGCTGCATGGCCGTGCGCCCATGCGTTGCCCACTTGACCTCATCCCCGCTCTATCCCCTCCCGTTCCCCGGTTCCCGTCCTTCCCCACACCCTCCCCCTCGCCGCCCTTTCTCTGTCTCCACGCCCGCACTTGTCGCCGCCAATCACGGCTCGCCAGCTAACGCGGGCGGCGACGGACGTGAGCGGGTTCGCGCGGGCGGCGCTGGTGGACGTGAGGGCGGCGGGCGTGGCGGCGTACGTGGCGTGCCTGGACGTGCAGGTGCTGCCCGCGTGCGTGTTCTTCTTCAACGCCACGCACATCAAGATGGACTCGGGGTAAGAGGGGGGTGAGGTGAGAGCGCCTTGCAAGGGGGTGGCCGGCCAGGAGGGAGAGGGGGGGAGGTGGAGCAGGGGAATGGGTGAGCGTGAGCCGGGGGTGAGTGTTTTTCTTCAACGCAACGCACACAAGATGGATGCCGGGTGCGCAGGGAGTGTGCGCAAGTTGCAGGGAGGAGGAGGGGAGAGGCAAGGGTAGGGATGGTTGGCGTGAGGGGGGGGACATGAGTGTTCTTGTTCAACGCCCCGCATGTCAAGATTTCGCCGGGTGTGCAAGCGGGGAGCATGGGGTCTCGGGACAGGGAAGGAGAAAGGGAGAGTGGGGGGTTGCAATGGTGGTGGGAGAGTGGGTGCGGGGTGGGCGTGAGAGGGGGTTGCTTCTGATTCCCCGCCACGCCCGTCACGATGGGTGCCAGTTGACGTGTGGGACCAAGTGCTCTCATGGGCACGAGCACGGGCGGTGACGGGAGGTGAGCAGGGGCAGGAAATGAGCAGGGGGCGGGGCGTGTTGTGTGCATGCTTGGGACTTACCGTCCTTGTGACACGCAGGTCCTTGCTTGGCCATGCAACCGCGTGTCCTCTCTATTGCGTTGCTTACAATTCCCCGTCTGCCATTTGCTCCACCTCTCACCCCTCCCGCTACTGCTGCTGATCCCTCCTGCCCTGCCCCCCTGTCCTGCTCCCCTCCCCTCCCCTGCTGCCCCCTCTCCACCCCTTCTCCCCCCCTGTGCGCCCCTCCCCATGCACACGCGCCCGGCAGCACGGCGGACCACAGCAAGTGGGTGGGGCCGTTCGCATGCAAGCAGGACTACATTGATGTCGTTGAGGTGCGGGGGGGAGGGGAAGAGGTGGGGGGAGAAGGAGGAGTGGGGGGTGGTTGTGGGGGGTTACGTGGGGGGGCCTCTTTGCCAGCAAGTGGGTGGCGCCGCAAGCACTGCTACATTGACGTCGTGGAGGTGAGGCAGAGGGGGAAGAGGGCGGAGAGGGGACAGGGGCGAAGGACGGAATTGGGGGGAGGCGGGCTAGGGGGAGAAGGGAGGGAGGAGAGGAGGGACAGAAAGGGGAAAGGGGACTGGACGGTGGTTGTGAGGAGGTACGTTGGAGCAGTTAGGTTAGGGCGAATAGATGGATGTGGTGGGAAGGACGGGGGAGAGGGAACGGGAGGAGGGGTTTTGAGGGGGTTGGGATGGATGGGGCGAAGGAGCAGGGCGCAGGGGTAGCGGGGATACTGGGGATGGACAGGGCTCGTTGCAGTGCAAGCAGGGAGTTCTGCTGTTTGCATGCTGCTTTCTGCCTTCTGCACATCCCATGTGCATCCCATTGCCCACTCATGCACATCCACTCTTTGGCCTCTCCCCATGTTTCCGTTGTCCTATTTCTCCATTTTCCTCCAATTCTACTTTCTCTTCCCTATCCCTTCCTCTCCCCACCCCCCCCCCCCTCACCCCATCGCTCCCCCTCTTCCCATCCCTCCGTATCGCACCCTCGGGGAATAGACCATATACAGGGGAGCCATGAGGGGCAAGCTCATAGTCACATGCCCGCTGCCCAAAGACCGCATTCCCCACTACGATCTGCTTTATCAAGGCTTCTAGCTTATCCCCTGCTCACTCATCTGTGTTAGGGTACATTGCTGGCGTGCGTTTCAAAAGCCTCGCCTCTCAAAAGACGTACGGTACACTTCTGTGGAAGCATTTGCTTGTTGAGTGTAATGTGGACACCGCCAGGCCCCACGTTATCAGGGCAAAACATCCTGATTACCCTGAATTCAGGATGCTGTTTTGAATTTACCCTGTCATTTCAGAATAGTGTAAATTTTAACCCTGAGGTCTCAGGATGTTTTTATATGAAATGCCCTGAACATTCAGAATGGCTGTAGTGTTCTTCCCTGTAGCGTCAGGATGAATGCCGAGGCCTGCCCTGACGCGTTTTTTGTTGGGGGGGGAGCGGGGGGGGTGGTGGGGGAGGGGAGTCCTGGGGAAATTTCCCCCCGAGGATTTTTGTCTCCGTAAGCAACCCCGTCGTTAAGCACTCATTCAACCACCCAATCATCCAGAAGTGGCCTAGTCAGTAGTAGAAAGGTTACTTCCGATAGGTGAGGTCTTGGGATCGAACCCACCCCCGTGCAGTCGAACTTCGACCTTAACTTTGTAAACCAACCAGTCTGAACCCTGAACACTTTTTTTTTTGCCCTGACAGGTCAGGATTGATTTCTGAAAAAGCCCTGAACATACAGGAAGGCTTCGAAAATTTGCCCTGACAAATCAGGGCATTTTTTACAATTATGGAAAGGTGCCCTGAGGCCTCAGGGTGCCCCAAATCCTAGCACGGGCCCTGGACACCGCCTCCTTTGATAATGCATCTTCTTAGGAAGGTATTTTCTTGAAATATTGTACCATACTCTAGGGCATAATGTGGTAGTATTTATTGCCTACACTACACTACACTACACACCCTCGGATCTGACAAACGAGAAGACAAAGAAAAGCAAAATATACAGGGAGTGCTCAGGGCACAGCCTCAAAACCAACCGCCACACACGGTCAAGGCAAAAACACAGGTTCTGTTTGCCAATGGCGGCAGGCAGCAGAACTTTATATTCGAGTCAAGACTGCTGCTGCTGAGTGGAACAAAAGGAGACATGAACGACCCAGACCAGCTTGCACCGTGGCAATACCAGGAAGCCCGGGCGTGCGCTGTACTACCGTGACTAGGGTGGTAATGTAACACATGTATGCAAGGAGGGTACGGGTTGCCCTGAGGTGGGTAATGGTGTCCGTGTGGCGTGATCATGTTCACATGGTCACATGCGGTGAAATGTGGTGACACGCGGTGACATGTGATATCATGAGAAAATGTAGTAACACATGCCAAGTGCCCTGCTTGCAATGAGCGAACCCCGGCAGCAGTGACTGACAGCTGCTCTGTCTGCGGAGCAACCAAGCCTGCTGTGTCATGTCGGCGAATTGGAAGGAATGCAGTGCTCGTGGTTGTCTTGAGCCATGAGCCATGAGGGTGAGTGACAGTCGCGCCAACAACCCTGCCAGTGTTGGTTCAGCCCCCTGCACCGCGCACACTGCTGCCTGCCTCTGCTCTCCCTCATAAAACGTCATATGCATCTGCTTCTGTCTGTTATACCCCTCTCTCTCTCTCTCTCTCCATCTGCCTCTGCCTTTTTCTACCTCTGCATCCTCCGTTACACCCCAACCCCTCCCTGCTGCTGCTTCTCCCCATCCCCCTCCTCCTCACCCACCTCCCCATCACCGGCAGTTGCGCCACCAACCCGGTCCGAACTTAGGCCCGGCCACATAAGCCACGACAACGGTGATGTCATCCAGCTTGCCCCCATAGTACCGGTACCCCGCCTCCTGCGCTGCGCGCGCAAAGGGCGAGATGCGGATGCGGTCCTGCGCGCGCGTGCGTGCCAGCGTGGCGATGTGCTCCGCCGTGTGCTGTGGCTCGCGGCCCGCCAGCAGCGAGTGCATGACGGTGGAGGCGAGCTCGGAATCGAACACGTTGTCGAACAGCCCGTCCGTGCCCAGCACCACTACATCGCCCGCTGCCACCGGCAGGGAGAACACCTGTGAGTGGAGCGAGTAGGACGAGGGGAGGGCAGGAGGGTAGGAGGGCAGGAGGGCGGGGGGGAGGACGCATGGGACGAGGAGATGGGTGGTGGGGGTGAGCTTGAGGTGAAAAGCGTTTGGCAATCAGCATCGCGTGGGCGAGTGGCCTTCACGGATCAAACAAGGCATTTGAAAGGGCGGTGCAGAGGGCAGCTGTTCCCAGCACGACTACATCGCCCGCTGTTACTGGCAGGGAGAACACCTGTGCGGGGGTGGAAAAGGGGGGAGGTAGAGAGGAGGGGCGGCGGGAGGATGCACGGGACGAGGAGTTGGGTGGGGGAGGTGGGAGAAAGGGCGGCTGGCAGATAGCATACCCGCGGCTTTGTGATTGCACTTGCGAGGGCGGGGGGAGAGGGTAGTGGGGCGGGCACACAGGAGGAGAGGAGCAAGTAGATAGTGCGCATGAGAGGAAAAGAAGGTTGTGTATCAAAGCAGTGGTTGATGGGCATAGGACGACGTGGGTGGGTGGTGGGCGATACAGCAAGTGCGGCAGGGCTGGCAGACAACACCGCGTGGGCAATAAGAGTGCCCTGGTGGATAGCGTCTTTGGCGGATCCAATCCAATCCAATCCAATCCAATCCAATCCAATCCAATCCAATCCAATCCAATCCAATCCAATCCAATCCAACCCAATCCAAGCAAGTATGTGAGAGTGCACTGCAGTGGCTGGCTCTACAATCAGCGTAAGAGCCTGCAGCACCCATGTGTGCGTGCGCCGCTCACCTCTGCATTCATTCATGTGCACCACCCACCGCTCTGCACCACAGTGCACAGCTCACCCACCTCAGCGGCGGAGGGCGAGTCACCGCCGTCACTGCCGAGCTGGAAGGGGAAGTTGAAATCGTGCTGCTGCGGGGGCGACTTGAAGATGATGCGCCCATTGCGCACCACCACAAACCCACTGTCGCCCAGGTTCGCCGCCTGCAGCCGCTGCCAGGGGGAGAGGGGGAGAATAGGGGATGGTCGCAGAGAGGTGGAGGGGAGGGGCCAAGAAAAAGGTGGGAGGGGGTGACGGAGAGGAGCACAAGGAGGTGGTTTGGAGGGGGGGTAGGGGCAGAAAACACATAGAATAGAATCGAGAGAAGGGGTTTTGGGCAGTGGGTATGATCATGGAACTTGGACAGGGCACACAAAGAACATCGAGCACACAAAGAACATCGAGCACACACGGCTTGATGCATCCACCTCTCACTGTGTCACGGCAACCCCTTCATCCCCCCATCCCCCCAAACCCTGCCTCCCTCCCTCCCCCCACCCCTCCCTCCCTCCCCCCACACCCCTCCCTTCCTCTTCCCCCCCACTCCCCTCCCTTTCTCAACCCACTCCTCTCCCTCCCTTCCCCCCCTCCCCCACATCCCTCCCCCCACTCCTCTCCGTCAGCTGCTTACGTCAGCAGTGAGCACCACAACGCACGCGGTGCACGAGCCCTGGCTGCGCGTCTTGGCGTGCGCTGACGTCAGCACGCGGAGGGTGTCCGCGCACCCCTTGGGCTCGCGCCTGACGGCCGCCTGCACCTCCCCCATCAGCTCGCGCGCATACGCCCCCGCGTCCACCCCCACGTCCGCCCACCCGCCCACGCCGTCCGCCACCCCTGCCATGGCAGCGCGGAGGAAGGGCAGCGCGGGGAAAGGACAGCGCGGGGAAGGGCAGCGCGGGTAAAGCGCAGCGCGGCGGTAGGGCAGCGCGGGGAAAGGACAGCGCGGGGAAAGGCAACGCGACGGAAGGCAGCGCGGGGAAAGGCAGCGCGGGGAAAGGCAGCGCGGAGGAAGGGCAGCGCGGGGAAGGGCAGCGGAGACAGAGACGGCAGCGGGGGGAAGGGGGGGGTGGGGGGGGCGGGAAGGGGGGAGACGGACTTGGTTAGGACGGCAGAGGGGCGCGAGCACGGGCGAGAGGGTTGGAAAAAGAGCAGTGGAGGAGTAGGGATGGGATGGAGCACGGCACAACAATGCAGCGAGAGCGGGGGAGTGAGGTGCGATGGGGAGGTGGGGCGTACGGTCAGCAATGCACTGAAGGTCAGAATAAATAAAGAATTTGATAAAGAACAAATAAGGAAAAAGTAAATGTTTGACCAGGTGATTGTTGGGGATCGCTGACGTAAGGAGGGAGAGGGTGGGAGGAAAGGGGAGAGAGAGGGCGGAGGGGAGGAGGTTTGCCGGCCTGTTGGGCTAAAAAGCGGTCAGAGCGGCTGGGAAAGGAGCGCTGACCTGAAACGGAAAGGAATGCTACAGGGAGCGGACCTGAGGCAGAAAGGGATGCTGAGGGAACGCACCTAAGGCGGAGACGTCGGGGAGGATGAAGAAGGCGTCTTCCCCGCCGCGGTCGAGCTTGTCGGGATGCGGCAGCACGCACGCGCCCGCCACCAGCCGCAGCGCCTCCTCCTCCTTCGCCGCCTCGGGGGCGCCGCTGCTGCCGCGCGCGCAGAAGCGGGGAGAGGGCAGCAGCGCAGCAGGGAGCACGATGGAAGAGGTAAGGGAAACGCACCCAGACAAGGCGAGAGAAGAAAAGCAAATAAACAACTAAAAACCACAGAACGATGGCGGAGCACGACATGACAGAGTTGCGGCCCCCAAGCGAAATGAAGGTGGTCATGAAATGTCCTGATCTGCTTTTTTTAATATATATTTTTACACGAGAGCTCTGTATCCTACAAATGGTGGGAGCAAGAATTGCGAGCGAGTATGGATCGGGCTAAGACGGCGCCGACCGACCTCTTATCGGCGTCGCCGTCGACAGGCCGCGAGCAGAAGGCGAGGCCGGGCACCTGCCCCAGCAGCTGCGCGTCGTGCAGGCGGCGCGTGATCACAGCCGCCGGCGGCGGCGCGCACGGCATCACGCGCCGCCACGTGCCGTAGGGCGCGGCGGAGGTGATCCTCGGCAGCGTCCATGCGGCGCGCGCGGAATCCGCCGCTCCGCCCGCCGATGCTCCGCCCGCCGGTCTGTTACCGCCGCCGTGCGCCAAGCACCACGGCGTCTCCTTCCCCGCGTTGAAATCCGGCGCGCACGGCGCGCCTAGCGACGCGAGGCACGTGGTGGCGATGGAGGTGGAGAGCGGCAGTAGCGGGCGCCATGAGGGGGAGAAGAACGCGGGGGAGGCGTGCGGGGAGGAGGAGCAGGGCGGCGTGCTGAGCGGCCAGATGGGGCTGGTGGTGGGCGTCGCGAGGCAGCGCGATATGGTCTCGCCCGCCGTCAACACCGGCTGCCGGCGCGCCTCATCTGCTGCTGCGCCTTCGATGCCGCTCTGGCATGCGGAGGGGGAGGAGGAGGCGGAGGATTGCGAGGACCGCGCGGGGGAGGCAGAGCACGACGTGGAGCCGCGAGTTTGACCTAACGTTGACCGGAGATTCGTTGACCTATGAAAGAAATTGACTGGCCTGGGAGGCATGCTTGAACGCACGCCCGAGCATAGACGCGAGAGGCACAGACAAAAAGATCCTATCGCCTAAGTCGTAATCGCGTCGCGACAATCTGACATTGACCCATGGTCGCTGAGGCCAACAGGCTCGAAATAGCTTAGTTAAGATTCCGCGGCGAAAATGGTAAATGCAAAGCTTATGTAGGGGGCAAAACCAATAAAATCGAGGAGGCTAACCCGACGCGTACTAATCGTAAAGATTTAGCTGGTATCTAGGGCTGTTTACTAAGTCCAAATTAAATGTACGCGCCCAACTTATTAGACTTGCTTACGTGAATAACGGCGGCCAAACAATTCAGGGATCTACTACCTCTCTCTCATGCCCTACCTCACTCATGTCCGCGCCAACCAACCAACCCCAGTAACACCCATCGCAGTGGCCCGCAGGAGGAGTGACCCTGGCAGCTCCGCTCCGCCGCAGCCAGCAAACCCTTCAGCTTTCTGGGAACCCCGCCGCGCCGACCCCTCCGCTGACCTGAGCGGATCCCCCACCCCGACCTGACTCTCCCGAGAATGTCGCACCGCCTCGTCGGCTGTGGTCCATCTGCCCGTGTGAGCCAAGCCAGATCAAGATTCTGTCTGTACTGTACATCGACCCTCCTCTGTTCAACACGGGTGGGTGTCAAAACAAGAGGCCCGATCTACAGAAACTTCTTTCGGTCACCATGTCACACGGTCAGTAGCGTTCCTTGAGGAGCTTCAGGGCTAAGTCTAGCACTTACCAAAATACTCCGAGCTTTATAGCCAAGCACTCTTGATCCTCCGTGTCGAGGCGGCGGATCACACGCTAACCATCATTTTTGCTCCCCATCTCTCCGCTGACAAAGCCGATTGATGCCACCAACCGAGAGCTGTACGTTGACATACAAGAAGCCAGGACTTGACGCCAAACATGCAACTCAAGACTCGAGCCCTTTAGGGCGTATTCTTGAAATTCAGTTCCTTCCTGCCGTTCACAAGCTCACTTTCTTGTTATGGATGCCGTGTGTTTCGCTATACAGTACTGCACCGAGAACCAGATTGCTGCACCGAGGACATGAGACCCAAAAGCCACCCTGATTGGACTTGAAGCGAGGAAACGCGAGTTTCAAGGAACCAACAAGGCAGGAAGCAAACTTCTTGGAGCCTTGGTTGGTTCATTGAATTCGTCCACCTCTCTAACGAGTACACGAGTTTGACCAGTCACTATCCACACCTAGAGTTGTAAGAAATTCTCTAGCATTCCTTACCATGCACCTTGATATGAGTTGTAATGGAAAGACTGCGCAGGATTCAAAATCGCAGAAGTGATAACAAATAAGCCGAGGTCAGGGTACCGCACATGGTTGGGTGCAGGTTCAGGGTTGGGAAACCCGGAGGCAACACGAGGTATGTTTGGAGGGCGAGGTAAGGAATTAGGAAAAATTTTCTAACACACCTCAGCAACGTGTAGCCAACCATTTCTTTCCCCTGTTACCACCTAACGGTGTTCGCCACATCGCATGACACACGTCGTGCTGGACTTGGCCGAGTCGGCTTATGCTTCGGGACAATCCCGAACCTCGCTGATAGCATAGCACTAGCTAGGTCGCAACAGGGCTGACGTTTCATATTAGGCCTCCCAGATTCCGGGGAAAAAATTTCCCCTCTATTATGAGTGCACATTTTTCAGAATGATGCTACACTGATTGCTCAGGGTTGAAAAGTATATAATTCTGTTTTTTCAGAGTCGAAAATCGAATATCAGAGTAGTAACACGCCCTTTGTTGGAATAACCGAAAGGCTATCGTAAGCATTCCCGAAGGCTCTCCACTTTCGCGTCACTTCATAAGAAGTAAGCGCCTGTATCAGTACCGCAATATCTCATATAGAGCACGCGGAAGATCGAGGGTCACCCGAAGGTCAACAGTCGAAGACAGTCAATGGTCGTGACCCTTGACTGCCCAGAAACCGCACAAGGCAGTTGCGAAGTGCAACGTAGTAACTATCTAGAATGGCAATAGTTGTGGTTACTGTAGCAATGTAATTCAGTTAATAAGGGAATGTACCCCTCAGAGTACATGGCTAGCTTGCTATTTATATTCTTGTACTCCTATCTTATAATCATTTTGTTCTCTCTCAATTCATTCACAAGGTCACTACAGAGACTTCACAACTCTTTCATATACTTAGCAGCTTTATCCTATCCACTACGATTCCTCAGTTATAACATCATGGTATGAGAGCTAGAGTGGATTATAAGGCCTGCTAAGTTCTTGTTCTTGCTAGAACAACCTCCTTATAAATTATTCATTACATCGTTACAAATTCTGCACTACTATGGCTCCAGAAGGAAAAGCCACTGCAGATTTTCCGGGCCCACCACCAGCAACACCCACTGCACCATCAGCGGTGACCTCCGTCAGCGCCGCTCTCGTTGAGTAGCTGGTCGCCCGCATCAATGCTCTTGAGAGCCATCAAGCGATGAGCATCGATGTCTCAAGTTATGCACGTGGAGTTGTTGGGCTTCCTCTCCCTGGAGAAGACCGCTGCGTCAACTCCGAGAGATCCTTCACGTTTTACAACCGTCAAGCTCCAGCTCCTGCGCAAGACAGTCAGCAACGCGCACACTCAGACACGATTGCAACAATTCAGACAAAATTCGTTCTGACTTCGAAGCTAAGAACATCGGTTCCTTTCGACGGACAGGACTTCTACACTTGGAGCTTCGAGTTTGAGCTTCTCGCGACAACTGCGCAAATCTGGATGTACTATGACGGAAGCTCACCGTTTCAAACGAAAGGCACCATTCAAGAGAAGAACCAGTATTACCACGAATCTCTTCTCGCGTACACCACTCTGCTCCGAAATCTCTCCCCCTCCGAGCAGCTTGGCATTCGCTCCTACAAGTCGGAGTGGGCTCCCGCGTACGCATCTTGGGAGCACATGCACAACTCATACATGGCAACAGATCCCGTTACAATGAGTCGCCTACTCAGCCAACTTACATCGGTCAAAATGCAACAAGGGGAGAAAGCGGGACCATATATCAACCCGTGCCGCAATCTGCGCGACCACATCAAGAAGTGCGGCGGATCCGTCCCAGACGACATGTTCGTCTCGATGGTTCTCTCCGGCCTCGGACCCGACTGGCGTCAATGCCAATCTTTACTCCGCGCTCGAGCAACCATCTCCGAGCCGGCCCTGTGTGCCACACTTCTCTCCGAGCAAAAGGAGGTTGACCTGTATAACGAGAAGAACACCAAGCGAGAGAAATTAGTATTCTACGTCGGAGCAATTGAAGGGGAGCAGCACGGAAAGAAAGGAACCTTCTGCAAGTACTGCAGGAAGCCTGGGCATACCATCAATCGGTGCTATAAGCGAAAGGCCGCCGACGAAAGGCGCAGCAACCCTTCGAACCAACAATCCTCGACACCTTCGACTTCTCCCGCCGCAACAACCACCGTGTCGCCTCCTTCGGTTGCGAGCACCTCGCAGACACCTGCTCCCATTACGGCCAAGGATAAAAGCAAAGGGTCAATCATGAGCTGCATGGTGCGCCGCCGTAGAGGAATTCGATACTACGACGGAACAGAGTTCCCATCTGACGCCCCCATCGACCCTGTTGCACCCAGACAAGATAACGACCCCACGATCCACACTTGGATCGATGAACCATCAAGGTACCCACCTGACTTCGAGCTGCCGCCGCCGACACCGAAATCACCTCCCAGCATTTCGGCGAACAGGTACTTCGCTCTCTCGCCATACACCGGCGAAAGAGATTGCGTGGTCACGCCGAAAATCGCCAACATTGCGCGACAGAGCCACGAGAACATCAACACCCGGTACCTGGACAGTTGCTGCGGGCAGCACATGGTGGGATCGCCAACGTTCATAAGCAACTCAAAACGCATGCGACGACCATGCGAAATCATAGTTGCAAACAACAGCACACTCAAGGCATTCGACATCGGCAAAATCTACCTCGAAGCTGATGACACAAGGTTCACCATACACATCGGTGATGTGCTCGTCGCCCCGGACCTGCGGTTCAACCTGCTCTCTTCAGCACAACTCATGCGGTGCGGAGTCGACATTCGTAGCAACTGCAAGGATAAGACCTTCGAACTCTTCAACAACAACTCTTACATCAGCAAAGGGGTTGACAATGACGGGGTCTTCGTACTACAGTTCTTAGCTCAGGGCACCACTGGAGATTCTCACCGTACTCTGCTGCTGAAAACAACTCCTTCAGAGACACTGACATGGTCGCATCCCACAGAAATGGATCTCAAGCGACCTGCTTCGGACGGCCTTCTACGACTGCGCACCGTCCCGACTGCCTCGACCTCCAACCCGGCTGAGACTGGACCTGCATCGATGGAAGAGGACAGTGGCACATCAGTACCTGTGGAACTGGTCACTAAGGAGAAGAAGAAGACTGAAACAAGATCAGGTAGTCCCGGTCCTGCTCTCGGGTCCTTGGGTGAAACCCTGACACTAGAAGAAGCAGCACCAGAAGAACGGGGCACTGTCTCGGCATCGGAAGTGGTGCCAACGCTTCAACGGAGGATGTCGCAGCAATTGGAGGCGACTGGGGAACTGGAGGCGACTGGGGAACTGGAGGCGGCTGGGGAACCGGAGACGCCTGGGGAACTTCAACAAGCAAAGGAGGGTGGGGGCAAGCAGCTCCTGCCTACCCGGAAGCTCCGGGTCCCCCCCCCCCCCCCCCCGCGGACACTGCGGCGGTCGACCCATACTGGGCAACACGTGGCACGAGCTGGGGTGGACCTTCTCTCCCGGATCAGTACGCTCCTGACACACCAGAACCAATGGAAGAAGAACCAGAGGAAGAAGTAACCTACAAATTTTTCGGAGGAGCAGCAGAACTACCAGAACCTACCGAGGAGCCGGAGCCGCCAGAACAAGGACCACAGGAGATTGAGGTAATCGGTGCCGAGTACAGATACTTCCGTATTCCCATGAAGGGACTTCCAGTCCGCGATTGG